AGCCTGTCCGAATGCCTCTGTAAAGCCTTCCTACCGCCAGGCAGATCAACGCTCCCCGCTCAACATGGTGTCATCTGCAAATTTACTGAGGGTGCACTTGATCCCTCATCTAGACCATTGATAAAGATATTAAAGAGAAACACCCCAACACTGAGCCCTGGGGAACACCACTTGTGACCAGCCACCAACTGGATTTAACTTCATTTACCACAACCCTTTGGGCCCATCCATGCACCAGTTTTTTTACTCAGCGAAGAGTACACCCCTCCAAGCCACGAGCAGCCAGTTTCTCCAGAACGCTGTGGGAAACGGTGTCAAATGTTTTACTGAAGTCCAGGTAGACAACATCCACAGCCTTTCCCTCATCCACTGAGCAGGTCACCTTGTCACAGAATGAGATCAGGTTAGTCAAGCAGAAGCTGCCTTTCACAGACCCATGCTGACTGGGCCTGAGCACCTGGTTGTCCTGTACGTGCCACATGATGGCACTCACAAAGATAAACCTCCATAACCTTCCCTGGTACTTAGGTCAGACAGACCTGTAGTTCCCTGGATCCTCCTTCCAGTCCTTCCTGTAGACGGCATCACATTAGCTAACCTCCAGGCAACTGGGATCTCCCAGGTTAGCCAGGACTGCTAATAAATAATGGCAAATGTCCTGGTGAGCAATCCCCCAGATCCCTTGTGTGGATCCCGTTAGGCCCTGTAGACTTGTGCATGTCTATGTGGCGTAGCAGGTCACTAACCATTTCCCATTGAATCAGGGGCTTCATTCTGCTCGTCCAGCTCAGGGGGCTGGGCACCTGGAGAACAACTAGTCTCACCATTAAAGACTGAGGCAAAAAAGGCATTAAGTACCTCAGCCTTCTCCTCATCCTTTGTCACTTTGTCCCCTCCTCCCCCCCCACCTAATAAAGGATGGAGATTCTCCTTAGCCCTCCTTTTGTTGCTAATGTATTTACAGAAACATTTTTTATTGTCTTCCATGGCAGTAGACAGATTAAGTTCTAGTTGGGCTTTGGCCCTTCTAATTTTCCCCCGGAAAAACCTCACAACATCCTTGTACTCCTCCTGCATTTCCTGCCCCTTCTTCCAAAGGTTGTAAACTCTCCTTTTTTTCCTGAGTTCCAGCCAGGAACTGGCTCTGTTCAGCCAGGCCAGTCATCTTCCCCAACGGGTCATCTTTCAGCAACCTGGGACAGCCTGCTCCTGCACCTTTAATGTTGCATTAATATGTCAGCTTCTGCTGAAACTCTTCAATCTTCCCCCAGATAGCTGCTCAAGGACATTAACCTGCATTATCAACCTCAAGAATCTGAACATGTTTCCTGCCAGGTCCCTTAGGGCTGAGACCTTAGGGCTCTGCTACCCATCCCCAACCTCGCCAAGGGTTCGGCTGTCTGTGCTGAAAGCCAGCTCTGGTCAGCCAAAAAGCTGGGCACCAGACCACTGAGATGGGTGGGAAGGACCTCTAAACAGCCTTGCCAGGGCCGTCTGCCCCTGCTTTGCGTGAGCCACACCACCCTTAGTCCATGCCTAAGCTACACTGCAGTTATGCCCATGCCTGCCCAAGTGCCCCACAGATCCTCACCTGCCCACTTGATCTTGGATCTGCCTTGTCGTTATGGACCTGTCTGGCCTGTTTGTTGAACCTCAATGCTGTCACCCTACTGCTCGTTTGACAACTGCACCTCCCAGCAGGGAAGGTCACTGCCACCGCCTGTCTCCTCACCCTGAGCTCTCAGCCTGCCTTCCCTCATTGAGCTCCCCATTCTTGCTGCTCCCCAATCCTCAGAAGCATGGCTTGCAAGGAATCTTCATCCCTATTTCACCAAAAAGCTCTTGGGCTCAAATGTATGCCCAGCAGCTCGGCACAGCCCACCAACGACAGCTCACCCCGAAAAGCCATGCTTCACTGTTGTAAAATGCAAACATCTAACACTTCTCCTGACCAAAGTGAGCAGCACGTAAAGAACACTGCCCTCTCTCAAACATTTAATAGTCAGATCAAGGCTAGGAAATCCACTTTTCTGATTCTAACCAGCTGCTGGTTCATGGGGATTAAATATTAGCTCAATTAATTTGTTAATTTTAAAACTATACACTATCTTCCTGCTTTAGAGACATGCTGGGTATCCCTCTGCCTGTATTACAATGACGTGTCCTTCCTTCAGGAGCATGGCTGCAGCAGCAAAACACCTTTGGCCCTACAGACCTGTTTTGGGTTAATTCTCTCTGGTCTTTCGAACTCTACAGGAGCCACTGGTTATCTCGCAGAGTGAGAATTCAGTCACGGCCAGGACGGAGCCTGCACAGAGCTCTGCCTCTTCTTCACCGTACACCAACGCCCTGTTCCACCACGATCTCACGCAAAGCCTGAGTGATCCGGTGCACAAATGAAGAGACTGTTGACTGAGGAACCATCCGTAAGGCAGGCGTTCCTGGGCAAAAGACAAGCAGACGAATTTACAATGCAGTACAGCGTCCCTCCTTGGAGAGGCACATCACAACCGGCTGCTACGTATGCCATCCACAAATATTCAGATTCTTGAGCCAGATTCAGTGTTCTCATTCACAAATGTTATCTGTGACCTCCAATTTTTTAGGATTATTCTCCAGAATGGCTGGTATCAATTTCTTACTTTTATCTCTAATTAGCCGGAATCAGAGTCACAGTCGTATCCTTCCAGGCATCTCACTGGTTATGCCTAGTATGTTTAAGCACATCTCAAATATCCCTTATGTGAAGTAACAGTGCACTACGCGTTTGCATGTGCCTTCTCCCTAGCAGTGTGGAGTATATTCCTGTAATCATGCAGGCTCCAACCTAAATACATGGTCAGTATTATCACGAGGTACTCCGTAAGTGCATGAAAAACAAAGTGCACACTGACCTGAACTAGTCATGAGAATCTCAAAACAGAAGAAAGACACTCCTTAAGCTGGAAGTTAACCCATCTTACTACTATCCCACAGATGAAGCAGATTTTTTTGACTGGTCCTAACACCCAACAAATTCATTGCTGAAATAAGGATGCCTTAAACCATAAATGCACCTCTACCTCTTGATCAAGCATAATAGGATTAGGCCTATCATGAGGAGGAGCAAACTCCTCGGAATTCTTGTTCTCACAGTGCCAGTTCTGTCCACCTAATCCCCAGTTCTCCCTGTATCAACCAGAATGGTGGCAAGTTTCCACCACTAATCTTTCCATGTGCAGTATAGCCATGTACATGAAGCAAACGCACCTGAATTGAATGCAGGTCATTTCTAACAGGTAACACAATGCTCCAGGGGAAAGATGTTGCACTAGTACAAACTTTAAGTTCTCATTATGCTTCGCTTTCAAAGGCTTGTGTGTTATCAAAAGACAACACTCCAAAAAGAGACATACCCTGCAGCAACCACAACTGCATTACATTTTTTTTTTTCAGTGGCTAAACACAAGTAATAATGGTACCTAATATACAGGATGGGTGAGACTGATTTTGGAATACTGGACAGTTCTGTGTAAATGGAAAGCAGGAGAAGCTTATGGACAATGCAGACATTTGAGAGCTAGAGGTAAAAGACAGGTATTGAGAGACTCATCCTTTAGTTCAGTGCAAGGACAGAGAGATGATGATTTACATTTTCAAAATGAAAATACCAGGTGAAAATTAAAGGAAATAATATAATTAAACAGAAGTAAGGAATTAAAGCAGGTAAAATTAAATCAGGGAGAAGAAAATAAATTTAACCATGTGACTGATTATTCTACCATCTTCAAAGAAAAAAGCATCAGGCTATAAGAAACCAAGGTTTTTACTGCAATAACTGCAAGAATTCTACAGTAAACACTGCCCAGGAGACCTGACCAGATTAATAACCTCTCTGGTTTATAAAGCAAAACACTTAAGAACCTCCAAGTCTCCTAAAAAGATTTACACTGATGGGGAGATTAACCGATTCTTGTTGGATCCGAAGTTCAGAATTTCTTGGATTTATCAAAAAGACAATTTATAAAGCCTTTTAGAAAGCAATAAACAAAGCTCCTTTAGGATCAAAGGTAAAAACTAATTTCTTTACATAAGTAGTTCACTAAAGTACGTGATGAGTTTGCAAGATAAAAAAATCAAGAAGAGATGTCGTATTCTGGTCAGCAACAAACATTCTGCTAGCAATCAAAAAGAAGATATAGAAAATAATCAATTATTTCTACAATGTAGGTTCTGATTTCTTAAGTTATTTAACTAAACTAACTTTCTGAAGAATATGAGGCTACTGGCATGGCCTTAATGTGCTTGTTATGTGAACAGGTACCCTTGATCTATGTTGAACCATGGCTGGCTTACCAAAGCACATTACACGTGGTCCAAAGGATTCCAAGGCAATATTCACAAAATTTAATTTAATAAGACTATCCTTCTGAGATCCCCCTTTGTACACTGGTGTGGCAAGAAAGGTTTCCTTAGAGAGTGACTTAGAGGAACCTAAATCAGGAATTCTCAGCTGCCCCCATGAAGACCATTTGTACATCCTCCTGACTACTAAGGCAACCCAGGAATATAAAGCCAAAAAGTCAGTCTTGGAAAAACACAATTGTGTGCCATCCTTCGAGAAACATAAACCAAAACTTTGTTGTGCTCTTGCAAAGATAAGTGTTTAGAGAAAATAACTTACCCTTGATCGTCTGTCTAAGCAGTCACAAATAAAGATTTCAGAAAGCAAAACCCCACAGCTCTTAAATAAAAGACAGGCAGCCTCGTTTTATACGTAAATTCTTATATAGAAAACATCCAGGGTTACACAATAACCAGTTGCTGGTGATTTCTGCAGAAATACAGTTCACACTGAAGTTTATAAACACACCACACTTGTAATGTCCTTCGGTCAATACTTCTGTTTTCATAAACTTTCCGATAATTAACACAGGGTTTAGCAAGTTCTGTTTTTTGTGTTTATGAATGAATCAAAATACAAATACATTGGTACTGTGCCCAATTTGAAAAATTCTCTCTCAAATGAAAAATGAGATTAAAAGTTTCTTAAAAAAAACCACCCATTAAAAAAAAAAAATCAACGAAACAGTCGTCCTCTTCCACGTTTGCTCCTGAGATGACTAGCAGAACGCCTAAGAGCTTTCCTCTCTTGACGATGTTGTTTCTCAGCTTCCTGCTGTTTCCTTTGCTGCTCTGACTGGAATATTAAAACAAAAATAGACTCAGGTTCTTGTAAACTTACTTATCACCTCATTGTTCAACTACCTATATATCAAGTCAGAATTCCAGGGAAATCTGGAAATGTTACTGTAAATGGTCCCACGCTATTTGTCTTATACCATACCTGTTGGTTCTGGGTATCCCTAGGCATTATCATTCCAGCTAATTCAGAGCAAACATTTAAGACAAAGGTATCAAAAAGCAGTGAATAAAACCATGATTTCCAATGAAAACCAATGTTTAACAATAGACTGTAAAATTACACTCCAGAATGTATGTTTTAATGCCCCTAAGAAGGTAGAGCACAATTTGAGGATATTTATTATCTACTCTGGTTAACCACTAGTACCACATTGACTATTTGCACAGATGCATTTTAAAAAGACAGAACTACTAGTTAAATTTGCTGAAACATACAGATTTTCTAACAAGTGTTCTCAGAGGTTCTTTAAAGTGTTTGATATTCTGTACACTATTCTAGAAAGACTCCACATGAAAATAATTTAAAATCTCTGCTCCTGTGGCACATGCTCTATTAATGTTTTTCCTCTTCATCAAAACCATGCTGAAATGGTTTGATTTACATACCACATAGATGAAATGGCTCTTACAGCCATAAACTACTATTTTCTTTGGAAGACTAAGATTTGTCTTAGTGTAAACTGGAACTAGCAGATTTGAACTAGCCAAGCTCAGGCAACAGTCCATGGTATGAAATACTCCAGCAATTAGCGCAATTTCAATGGCAGCACAGGCTAAGTGCATTAGGAGTGTGACAATTACTGGATATGTATGTGTATCCCCACTGCATTTAGTTCTGTAATCAGCAGCATTCATCCACCAGCCCAGCTCTTTTTGAATCTCCCATTAAAGTACCATTTAAAACTGAGCTAGATTTGCATGCAGAGACCACGTTTTGGCTGAGGTGAGAGATGAACCAATTTACCAAATGTAGCAATAAGCCCACACCAGTATCATGGTAATAAAAGCTAGTGGTCTTTAGGTGCTGAAATTTATTGACTTCTGTTTCCACTGCAAGTAGGGAAACAAGAAACCCAGTATGTGAAAATGTAAGTAGTTTCTCTCTTCAGACTTTGTCTTAAATGGTCTTGAGAGATCTCACATAACAGTGTTGACTGCTACCCCTAGTATACTGTAATTGAGTGATCCTAATTTGCATCTGAAGCTTTGGGTTTGGCTTTTTTTAAATGTCATCCATACCTCCCTAATAGTGTAAGTGGTCAGGTATTTTAGAAACTCTGCTATTCTGTTATATCTATTTGCTATAATAAAGCATGCCAAAACTGAAAAACCAGGATGCCACACTGTAGGAGCCACACTAAAATCCCCTGAAAGCTAAACTGTGAAATATCAATGACAAACATTTTCATTGCTGCATCTGCAAGCAGTTGCTGGGCACCTGGGAGGCTGCTAACATTCCACAGCTGCAGCAGCCAAGTTCAGTCTCAGTTCCACTGACTTACAAGGTCAAGTGTGGGCCCATGGCTTTGCTATCAATTCTCTCCCCCAGAAAATCTTTCTACCAACTCCTAAATACACTGGCACTTCAAGGAAAGAGCATCACAAAGCAGAAGTTGATTATCAGGGTAAATCTAAAATCCTTTTTTTTTTTGGCTTGCCAACCTCATCTCTTCATCCTCTGAAGAGGAGTGTCAGGACAAGCATGCTGCATATTGCAACTTCTTCCTAGCTCCCTGCTCCATTCCCTGGGACTTCAGAATATATACATAGGGCCTGTTTATTTTAGAGAACACTTGCAAGTCTTAATTTGCTACTCTGTTGATAGGAGAAAAGATCTCCACTATAGATACATTATTTTTCTTTTAATTAGACTTTAAAAAAACCTTTTTAATGCAAGTGAGCACAACATAGGCATTTCAATAAAGCAGGATCAGTTAGCAGTCAAAAAAACCCAATCCATATATGTTAGCAGCAACATAATTAAGCAAACCTCAAAGCTACAGCACATCTGATGGAATCAAGTCAAAATGGCATTCTGAACCCACTGCTCTATCTGTCTTCCACCTTACTCTCAAATCTTCACAACGCTGTTAGCAAAGGCGATATAGGTCATTGATCACCTCCAATTACAAAAAATCCTTGTAGCTTTGTGTTTTCTAAGTTCAAGCTACTATAAAAAAAGACTGTACAAATCCTATTTAATTAGCTGCAAGACACTAACATATCAGTTACAGCAGTTGGTAAAATCCCCAGAATGGTTATCCTACACAGCACAGCAGAAGAATCTGTGACTTATTCCACTGTCAACACATTCTAAATTCCAGCAATACAGGAATCAAGAACAGATGAAAAAGGACATCCGCAAGCAGAATAATCAGGTAAAACAAGTAAGGTAGAAATAGGCCAACAAATTTGGTTATTTAGGGTTTTTTTCCAGGCATACACAATGTGACAATCAAATAACTACTTAGCCATTCTGGTGTTTTACTGGTAAGAATACATTTGATCACTGATAGGGAGAAATGTATTATAGCAGAGGCTTACCAGAGAAAAAGCACTTTTAACTGAAGTACATTTTGTCAGCTCAAGTATCAATTAATATGCATATTCAGTTTTTATAATGTGTCCTTTCCTCAGTTCTAAAGCAATTTTCTAACAAAAAACCCCTAAGTGTTCTACAGCAGTAGCAGATATACACATGCATTTAACTCTGTCCACACTATTATCACCTGCCTGCCATCTACAAAATTCCTCTGGATGCGAAATAAAAACCCTTTGGGAAAGGGTGATAGGCAGCAGTCAACTACACACTTCAAATGGAATTTGGCAGGTAGAACAGGGCTAGAGCTCATTCCTGTGACCTGTATTACACAAGTTCAATGACAAAAGTTGTTAGGAGCTCTGGTTTTTTCATGCTGAGACCTAGCAACATAATCAAGTGAGAGAAAGCCTGTCACCCACAGCATCCTGACTGCATTTGGACCTGCAGACCAAGATCTGATCAGCCCTGGCACAGAAGTCAGCTAAGGTCACAAGCTTCTGATTATGTGTCTGCCAATATACTATTAAAAGATGGAAGCCATTATTTTCCACCAGAACACAAGATTTTATGAGTGCTGCCTGAGTTATAAGGGTATAAACACACAGAGTACTACCGGAGGCTTTCCTTCTCTTGGCCAGAAGCAGAAGAGTTGGCAGCTTATAAAGAAATGAAGAGGGACATTTATTTGACGGTTTTAAAGTTCCTGTTCTTTCATGCAAAAACTAAAGTTACTTGTGTATTATCTTAAAAATTATACATATAGCTCACCTTCTTTAATTTGAACGTTGCCTGTTTGCTGCCTACTGTGGTATCACACACATCCAGCGTGCCAAGTTTTTCTTCAAGCTTTAAACGATCTCCAAGAGTTTTCCTGCAGAAAATAATTAACATTAGTTCCTATTCTTGCAACCTTTTATTCTAATAAGAGCTGTTAATGCAGTCAAAACTAATCTAATTTCTCTGAAACCTTGAAATGCCGTAACTCTAAAAAATAAACATTCAGTAAACAGAAAAAGTGTTCAAGTTCAAATCATTCCCTCCAGATATTGCTTTCAGTTGAAACATTTTTAAAATTTATTTAAAGTTCCTTGTTTTTTCAGCTAAAGAAGCTGGACTTCTTTAGGAGTCTAGTTGAGAAATAAACCACACCCTTCTATTGCTACAGTCTTCATTGAAATGTTAGAAAAAGTCAGGAATACATACACAAATAAAATAAATAAGGCTAGATATATTCAGTTTTCTTGAAATCTTACAATTTCTGAATTGAAAACACTTTTGAGGGAAGGAAATAACCTTGACCATACATCAGAATGAATTCATCACTGAATGAATCACTTCACCGATAGAGACGAGCTACTCAGTCCAAATAAAAACAGCCGTTGGGACACTACACCTAACGCAGTCTAATACAAATAGGTTTCTACCTAAAAGAGGAATGCAAGCAAGTGACTGTGATAAGTAAGGCAGAACCTGACCCCAGAGGGGAGCCCCACACAAAGCTATGCCTTCAAGTGCATGGTGCTCATCAGTCAGCTTCTGTAAGCATGCTAGAGCCTCTTCCCGGGGCACCAACTCCAGCATTTTTATGGAGGAGACAGCTGTTGTGGCCGAAATAGATCCTGCTTTTGGCTCTCCCCCACTGGAAGTGAATACCCCTACAAAACTAAGACACATGGATGTGGCCCCAGTTGCTCCAGGTTGTGAGCTGATATTTACTATCACCCTTGCTGACTGCAGTAAGTTAGGTTGTAAAGAGGAAGAGCCGAGGGTGGAAATACACCTTGTTCCCGCATAGCCTCCAGCACAGGCGTGAGGCAGGCAGGCAGGGGTGGTGCAGGCTTCAGCCAGACTCCCTAAAGGCACCTGAGTCCTGGCACGGCTCGTCCTTCAGCAATGCAGGCCCTACGAACAGGTAGTGCCACCTGAGAATGTGACGTGGCTCGTACGATCAACCTCACCCTCCGCTGCACTTCGAAAACATTCGCTGAACTGTGAACGCAGTTAGTTTCTGCAATCTGAGCTACTGCTACTAGTGCCCTACTAGATCCCCCTGAAGAAAAGGCCAAGAGACACTTTTTGTACAAGTTTTAACGTGGAAAATAAGTCATCACAAAAAGACAGATGATTAGCAGCCACTACAGTCAATGGCATTTCTGTGGATGAAGGGCTCGTGGGTTGTGGCCTGTGCATGAAGCCTCTGAAGTCCGCTGAATTTTGGTTAATGAGCCATTTTATCTAACAAAGACTTTTCAGATTAACAATGAAAAATTACTGTCAAGAATTACTTTATTTCTCATGACTAGGTACTTTGATTGTATTTTTTTCTGTAGTATATTTTTCGGTGAGTACATGTAGAAACTTGTTCCCTCTGTGCGAATCGGGAAGACAAGCTAAGCCTTAGAGCTAACTATGGCAGAAGATCAGTCACTGACACTGCGGTGGGATTTCTACGTTCAAGTGAAGTCCCATTTTTCTCCCCTTTGAAAGTGAACTGGAGAAAGATGGCTACCACCCAGCAATTATTTAGCATGACTGCCTAGATATTGCTTCTGTCAGGAGAAAAAGTAAAATGAGGAGCAAAATGCTGCAGGGTTGGAATTGCATTGAATAATTGCAGGTATGGCTGTATTTATCTGGAAAGGCGCAGCCCTCAAATGATAGTGAACTGCACACAGTGACACATAAACACAACAGCTGGGTTGTTTGGGATTTTTTTTAAATCGTCCTCAACCAACTGATTCAAGGGATACATTAGAAGTGTTATTAAAAGAAGCAACTTCCCCTGCTCTACAGTAAAAAACAAATTGCCCAAATTTTCCCCCCCCATTATAAGAACAACAGTGTTTCAGGACTTTTCCTTCTGTTTTACTCTAGGAATATCTAGGAATGTCAACTATGCTTTTGTTGACTTTTCTGGCTGCATCTGAAGACATACCAGGAACCTGAGAGTGGACTTTTTACCAGGGCCTGTAGTGACAGGACAAGGGGTAATGGGTTTAAATTGAAAGTGGGGAGGTTTAGATTGGATATCAGGAAGAAGTTCTTCACGGGGAGGGTGGTGAGGCACTGGAACAGGTTGCCCAGAGAAGCTGTGGATGCCCCATCCCTGGAAGTGTTCAAGGCTAGGCTGGATGAGGCTTTGAGCAACCGGGTCTGGTGGAAGGTGTCCCTGCCCATGGCAGGTGGTTTGGAACTAGATGATCTTTAAGGTCCTTTCCAACCCAAACCATTCTGTGATTTTATAACACACATTGACCGTCATGCTTTGTAAAGTATGAATATTGTAGCGTTTCATTTTGACATGCTCTGACCTCGGTAACAAACCCTTTAAAGGGACACCAGGAAAAATCAAGACCTCTTAGCAACCTGATAAAAACCCTTTCCTTTAATGGATTCCTTTTAAGCTGCTCTGCGAGGAACTTAAGCGGTAAGTAAACAATGCAAAGTTTTGCAGGTTTTCACGCGTAAGAGTGCAGAATGGGACAATGAAACGTAGACGGATTTGAGACAAGGTGTTTTTTATGACCATGAGTAAATTTTGCAGCTTTCCTGCGCAAAGAAATGCGTAGACTATTGGGCTATGAAAAAATTTATAGTACGCACCACTGCTTTAGAAGCTGGGCTTGGAGCCGTGCTGAGTCAGGAACATGTCAAAAGAAACACCCAGTTTTATGTAAGTCATAAACTGTTTCCTCAGGTAGAACATTATACGATTAGAGGGGAAAAAAAGAACACCTAGCCATTAAGTGCATAGTGAAGGTATTAAGGTACTTAATTATATTGGTCACAGACCATCATTCCGTAACTTGGATAAATCAAATCAAAGACAAACATGCCAGCCTCACCAGATGGTACATGCCACTACAGCCTTTCCAATTTTCAGTACGTTACTTGAATTCATTATTTTTATGCTGACTACTTATCACTGAGTAGGGCCAGCAGAAAACGTACGTAGCTATTTTCTTCATGACATTCTAGTATGTAAAAATGCTTATTAACCAAACAAGTTAGCTCACAGACTAAGTCGTTATAATTACAGAATCATATCAGCTATATGCTGCAAGAAAGACACCAGCTGTTAATTTTTAAAATTTGTTCTAAGAATTTGAGGAATATCAAACTCCATCCTAGAGAACAATGCTTGGATGAACACAAGTGGGATCGGTGAGTATAGAGCTAACTGCTTAGACAAAAGTAAAAAAAAAAAAATCACGGCAATACAATTCAATGACAGTAACTCAGAAAACATAAAGGATGTAATGCTGTCATTCTTTCTTTTGGTCATCCTATTCTATTCCTCTATTTTGTCTTTTTTCTTTTTTAATAAACATTTTACATCCTAACTGTGCACCTACAACATAGAGGGCATCTTATCTAAGCCACCCTAATTATGCATCAGACTTTGCAAAATATTCTGCAGAGAATTAGCATTAGACAGGTTTTTCTTTGCCCTAAAAGCAGTCTTTTTAAATTCTTTCCATGATTTATGTCCTCACTGATATTCCTCCATCCACTGGACAGGTCTGTGGCATTTGCTTTAGCTTTTCCTGGGCTGAAGCAATTATTTTTTCTCCCTCTCTACAGCAGACAAAAACATTTACTTTGTCCTATGTCAAATTGTAATATTTTGTCCTAAATGTTTCTGTTCCTTACACCTGTCTTGGCTTACTTACTTGCTTGTTTACTTAATTTTCAATGTCCTTGTTTACATTTAAGCTTTCATGTTTTGAACAAAATGAAATCTTAATACTCCAAATTGAGTGTCCTTGAGAATTTCCTTCAGAGGTCAGCAGCTGAAATTGTGTAAAAGAACAGTATGTGAGCAGGCTGTAGCCATACTGCCTTTTAGGGAAGTATTTCAATGGCAATGAGAACACAGAGCCATTTGACAGTGCCATTTAACGTATTTTCCAACCTAAAAAAAGATTCTGTGACCACTGTCTCAGGCTCCTTCAAGTTACTTGACAACATGACTATAAATACAAGTACAATGTAAATAATATCTTTAGCCTACAATGCTCTGTCAGAGTGTCCAGAGTGGATTTTCTCCTGACAAAGAAAAGTAAGATGTTTCATTTTCTGGAAGAAAGAAAAACAACCAGAAGAAAGTTGGTGGAGAAATGGAAGAAAGTTAGTGTCCAGAATGAGTGGATATATTCCATATAAAGAATGAAAAAATCCCTGTGTGAAAACACTTGCTGATAAAAAACAGCTAAGGAAAACATGGGAATCAGTTCTGCAGACTGCTCTAAATCCCAATTTGTAAAAATACCACTTCTATTCAAAGAGGTCTTTACAGGCACAACATGGAAATCAGACTATTAGACTACTGCAGAAACACTGTGTGAATAATTCTCAGAATTATTAACCTCGCACATTTGAGGGACACACGGAATTATCAAATGTTTCTTTACGTATCTCCAGAAAATTTCCATCATGAAACAGCTAGGTTGTCGAGTCAGTCATTAGTGACACAAAGAAATAGCCCCATTATATGTATTATTCACTTCCTTTTCTTTGACTGTATAATTTCATTCTAAGTAAAAACATAATGGCTATTACGAGATCCATCTAGCCCAGGATCTTGTTTCCAACATTAGCCAAAATTCTGCCCTGCATCCAGTATGCTGCAAGAACTTTGAAGCTATTGTCTTTCAAGGTTTTAGCATTAGTGACTGTGCTCTTAATAATAAAAAGGCTATTAAAGCTCATCTTCCAAAGGGCTCAACTCACCCCATACAAATATCAATACGATCTGCAGGCATTAAGCACCTCAAAGCCAAGACCTTTAGTTTGACACGCTCTTTACACAGTACCCAATTACTTCAGTTAATCATCAATTTAAGGAAATCCAAATTAAAAAATAACGTTTGACCTTTCGTGTTGCAAAAACAGAAATAGTGAGACCTGACAATATAAGGACACCAATTTTTTTTTAAGTTCCTGGATGCCATCAAAATACCTAGACATAACATTTTTTCTTTTACCACCTTGATCCTACCCCCAAAATAGCGACCCCCAAACAGTGACCAGTCACGCAGTATTGCACACCCTTTTAGAGGCTCAGAGGCAAAACATCCAGACTGTCAACATCACACTGACACTGCTGGAGAAATACAAGCAGCCTCTCAGACATCAGCATTGCTACTTGTGAGAGCAGCAGTTCACCAGCACTGAGTAATGGATCCCCAACTCTGGCTCAGAATCCTCATCTCTTACTCATCTCACTTGTGTTGTCTCTCCCCCATACTTTAAACATTATATTTGTTTAACTACAATACTAAGCTTTCAACAACTATGTCGCTTTAAGTTATATCCCTGAACCGCCAGATGTGGCTTTACTAGTGAGTGCTGCCAAGCCAAAACGCCACTGGCCGGCATTGTAGAGAAAATACTTGAGAATCATCCACCCCCAGCTATTAAAATAGGAACATTAGTCTTACTTCATTAATTTTTGTTTTTTGGCAGAGTCTTTGAAGCTTTTGAATTCCTCTCCTTCTTTAATCTCAAAAAACTGAGGTTTCAGTAATGTTTGCTGATCCTCCTTGAACCTTTCCTGCCGCTTGACTTTTTCCTCTTGGCGTAGAAGCTTGCGCTGTTTCCTGACCTCTTCAACCCAGCCTTTTTCATCATCTGAACTCTCAGAACTTTCTGCATCACTTGCTTTTCCTTCTGGTTCTTCCTCCTCTTCCTGCAGACAAAAATAGTATAAAACAAGAAATCACCAACTGATTTTCTTTTCAAGCCATTCCTGCAATTAGACTACGTGACAGCTTTTACAGAGATACAGGTGAAGAGAACTACAATTTGAACAAAAGCAGTAACAGCAAATGAAGCAGAAGATATATTATAGCATTGTTTCCACCTACATATTTTATGTTTTTCAAACCTATATTCATGTAGAGACAGTATTGTTCACATCTAAACCCTAGGATAACATTACAAATTACACTTAATTGGTATTGCTGGTAAGAAATTCTTACATTGTCTCCATCTTTCCTTATTTCTAGGGTGAAAAATCCAAATGCTTGAAACGCAGGAAAAAAATCACAATGGATGATTCCTAATCCAAACAGAAAATATTTTACCTGTCCTTGTGCTTCCAGTTCCTCTAAAATCTTTAGCTTCCTCTTTCTTTTCTCACTTATTTTAGAAACAAGTGGGTTAAGGAGCCTAAATTCTTCACTCTGCTCATCCACCTGGAAATCTGGATTCTCAAACATAACCTTAAAACGATCATCTTTGAGAAGGTTAGGCAGGTTCTGGAAAAGAAGCAAAGGATGAGTGAGTTATAAAATTCTGAAACAGCGACTAGTAAAGTAAGTAACACCTTTTTAATTACACAAAACTCAAAACCAGCATAGGAAATGTCTGTTGATTTATACTCCAGGTCATATTAAAAAAAAATAATCACGATTTATTCTTATTATATTACTTTTGGAAAGATCAAATAAATATAATTCTAAGCTACCTGTAAGCAAGACAGATTTTTTTTTTATGCACACTACAGACACCTTAAATAGGGAAATTACTAATATTTTTGAACTAATGTTCCTCATGCATTCAGCCAGCTTGTCTGGAGACATGTTGATATCTATTGACTAATCGGCAGTACCTCCAAGGCAAATACCCTGCCTGACAGGGATGATTCTACAACATGTACAACAAATTACCAGGGGAAGCATGTCTTTATGCAATCCTACTACTGTTTCACAGTAAATACATCAGACTAAGTGTTTCTGTACATCTTGTAACACTTCTTCACTGCCCTCCCATACAGAAAAGGCAGCTTCATTCATGTCAAAGTAAAACGAATACAGTATAAATTATGCTGCTGCTGAACGAGGAACAGTTCAAGCTACTATTTCAGCTTATGCTATACCTGCTGTTATCATTTTAAAATCACTGAATACATAGCTTTGTTTTATAAAAAGCTGGTATTTCAACACTGCCACATTTATATCAGCACATTCATCCCACCCCAGCATTAAATTTTCATTGTTACCTAAGAAGTGGGGAAAAAAAACAAAACCATAGGAAACAAGTGTAAATTTGAAATACAGGAACTGCTGCAAATTTGTGACTTGCAGTCACACAGCCAAAAATTTAATCCCAAAGCCTCAAATACCTTGCTCTCCATAAGACACTAATGCCATTTCAGGGAAAAATACCTGGACATACATTTTTATGTACACTCTTTTTAGTCCTCACATCAGCCCCCATGTACTGATATCTTATTTCCATCATGACACTGGCTTAGACAGTTTTACCACCATTTACTTTTTCAATAGTTCATGCTTCTCACTAACCAACACATGAGATTTCATTAGATGCCACAGGAAGCTAATGCCTACCCTCCATGAATGCCATATTCCTGTGAGAATGAGCACTTACGGAGTACTACCTGCGGGACGTGCCTCCCCGCTCCCCCCCC